TGAGGATAAGGGGGCAGAGCAGGAAATTGGCAATGCCAATCCACAGGATGCGGTTGCTGAGGCGCTGAGCCAGCTCTAGCCGTTGTCCCCCACGTTTATACTCAGCCTTGAGGCTCCATTCATTGAGAAACAGAGAGCCAGGTCCCCAGAACAGGATCAGCTCAAAGTTGTACTTGAGGCCACGGGTAAAGAAGACAGCCTCTCCAAGGCCAGGCAGGCGGAAGCGCAGGGGGAGAAGGGATTTGTTCACCAGTGCCACCATGTAGTTCTGGAAACGGAGGATGCGGTGGTAGATGTCCAGCTCTGTCAACTCACGCTTGTGGATACAGATCTGATGCTCTTTCTGGGTCTGCACAATCCGGGCCTGCACTTCCTGCCACGTGCAATAGGGCAGGGCGGACTGCAGGGTGGGATGAGGAAGAAACAAGGTATGGAAGGGGGAGTTGTTAGCCCGACCCCTTACCCTGCATAGATATGGCCCAAGTAGAGCCTTTAATCAGATACTTCCTGACCTATTGCTCTAGTTTGGATCTAGAATGTGTTCCCCAAAGACCCATGTGTTAATGGTTTGGTCTCCCATTAGCTGGTGGCACTATTGGCAAGTGGTGGAACCTTGTAGAAGTAGGGCCTAATAGGAATAAGTTAGGTCATCAGGGGCATTCCCTGGAAGGGGATATTGGGACTTGGGACCCCTGACTTTCTCTTTGCTTCCTGGCTGCCATGAGATGAAAAGGCATCTTCTACCATGTGTCCCATCATGATGTACTTCCCTGCTATAGGCCCCCAAACCACTGGATCAACCAACCATAGACTGAAACCTCTGAATTGTGGAATAAAATAAATCTTCTCTCTCTCTTTTGCATTCTAGGGATTGAACCCAGGAGTGCTTAACCATGGAGCCATATTCCCAGCCCTTTTTTTTTTGAAACAGGGTCTTGCTAAGTTGCTTAGGGCCTTGCTATATTGCTGAGGTGGCTTTGAACTTGCAATCCTCTTGCCTAAGCCTTCCGAATTGCTGGGATTACAGATGTGTACCACCATGCCCAGCTAATCTTTTCACTTTATAAGCTGATTATCTCAGGTATTTTGTAACTGTAATAGAAATCTGATTAGCACACCTGCCAATGATGAATCTGGATGGACATGTGATACTCAGAATACACCTCATCCCTCCCATGATGTCTTACATTGTGGTGCTAATGGTCCAAAGCCAATCTTACCATGGGAATGCGCAGAGCATGCAGGTAGAAGGAGTGGATCTCCCAATAGCAGCAAATGTTATAGATGAATTTGATAAGTCGGTGGATCCAGAAGACACCAGCAATGACCAGAATGGTAATAAGGGAGCCATTTTCCTGTATCCTAATGGGGACAGAGAAGGTGAAGTGGGGTGGTCCTTGAAGAATGAGTCTTAGAGACATTCTGCTATCCTAAAAAATTCTGCTAGGCCGAGCCTGAGTCTACATCTGGGGTACAAGTTGCTGCCTCATACTCCACTCCATTCCCTACCTACTGGAAGAATTGCAGACCCCAGTGCCTTCTCACCTACAGCCTCACCTGGCACTGCAGACTTGGGCAGGCAAAAAGGCATCTGGCAGAGTGACCTTGACGGGCTCAGTAGGGTGAAGACTGTGGTTCACCATCTTGTTGGCAAATAGGATGTCATAGTCCACACAGCTAACCAGGAAGGTAGTGAAGGCAACCACAAAGAGAAACTGCCTAGGGAGTCGGGAAGAGGGATGCAGTCTGAGAATCAGAGAGGCACCAGTAAAATAAAGTGGAACAAGAGAGCTTGGAAGCAGCCAAAGAAGACAGGAAATCAAAGGCGATGAACTTCTAACAGGCTGCCTCTGTTCAACCTCATGGGACATTCTCAGGCCCAAATTGGCTCCTATTTTTTACTCTTAGCTTCAGGCACCACAGAATCATTCTGCTTTCTCACCTTATGATAATCTGTCACCACCACTAGACTTAACTTGCAGAGGTTTTATAACTATGGTTTCTCGAATCTAGCCCCTGATCCCTTTGGATGGTAGTTAGAAGCTCTTTGGGGATGTGAACTCTTTTCTCATTGAGAAACAGCTTCTCAGACCCTTCCCCTCTGGCAACACTGTATGGCTCCTCCCCATTAGAAGGTCCCGTGCGCAGCAGCAGGTCTAAGGTACAACTAATGTAGAATAGAGGCTCTTAACTGTCTGCTACCTCTGAGACATCCTGACTGAAACTGGCATATCCACTGCAACTCTGATGAAATGATCAAGGTGTGAGTTCTTTTCATAGAAGAGACAGGACCTGGAAAGCTCTTCTTGCAAGAGGTGAAGCTATAAGTTTTGGCATCACACCTGGTCTTGTAGAGTTTGGAGCCTGGGCCCCTTCCAGTCTAGGACTGTGAGATCTTGGCAAGCAGAGTCAGGGTTAGAGCAAGGAAAGATAGATGAATTCCTTCACGACATCATTCATTCCTTTGTATACTTACATGAGCTCAAAGATCTCCCCAATGAGCATACACGTGAAGCCATTCTTCTGATGAAGATTATAAACGTGTTAATTGTTAAGAAAAGGTGGTCAGTAAAGACAACATTTATACATTTAGACCTTGATGTCATGCACCTGAGCTTAAGTTCCTGGCTCTGAAGGTCTAGACTTTATACAAGTTATTTAACCTCTCTAAACTTTTGTCAACTGTGGAATGGCAACATGTCTCACAGAGTTATTAGGTATAAGAAAATGCATGCAAAGTATTTAACACAGAAATGACAAAGAATGAGTCAAAAGACAGTAATTATTGTGATTATTAACATCCCATCAGAAAGGTGGATCATCTTAGAAAAGTTCCTTATAAATTAACACCACAAAGTGCACCTAGGCACGTAGCTCTTGGTAAATGTGGCATATCATTATTTTTAATAATCATTATTTTACTAGCCTCTTTCAGCCTCAGGATGGGCATCATTTTTTCTTCCAGGGATCAGTTGAACCCACCCCTGCGTCCCATCAGTGACCTGGCTCAGAGAAGGGTCCCAGAGCTCTAACACAGAGACACAAAGGATATTCGAGAGAAAAAGAGGTCAAGGTTTTCGATGTGGTGCCAAGGTGCTGTGGGCACAGGAGCAGAGATGTCAGAGCTCTGAAGGAACAAAAGCCCCTCACTCTCTCAATATTCCTCCACCCACTCCCCCCTCAGCTCAGCTCTGGCTGTTGTACCCAAGAACTCACATTTGCTTCCCTCAGCAACATGCACCAACAGGTCCTCCTCCCCTGGAGGGGAATCGCTATAAGATGCCTCCAGGCGCTGGTATTCAGTGTCAAACTGCGCCATCACCGCAGCCCCCTGTCCACCTTGTCCACCTGCCAGTGATGAGGAAAAAGAGACACTGGTTCAGGCCCAGGTGCTGCCTGCCTGTTGCCCTGTCTACTAGGCCAGAAGGAGTGAGAAAGAATCCTTGGGTTTTGTCTTCACCACCAGTCTCCTTGGCTCAAAGGCAAAGCAAGAGTAATAACCCAAGGAGAGTAGTAAGCTTAGGGACTGGATGCCCTTAACCGTGGTCAGTCATTCCCAGAGACTTTCCCTGGTCTGAAGCCAGAATCTGCTCCTTTGGTGGGGAGCAGGCTGTTTCATCTTCTATTCAATAGAGAGCAAGATCCCTCCCCTACCCCTCCAGGAATCCCTGGTCTCCCCAGAGACTAGCAGTTTGGAAGCATGTTGTAAACAAAGATTTGAGATAAGCACATGGCCCTACCAGCTCCATGGACAGTGTCTGCTCCACTCCAGCCCTGGATGCCCTGGCTTGACAGCTGCTGGAGGAGAAGGTGTCAGGCCCCAGAGAGTGGGGAATGGGGACAGAAAAGAAACCAACCCTCCCATGCACCCAAGTTCCACTAAGAGGAGGACAGGGAGGCTGCAGTGGGGAAAAGGCCCCTTCCAGTCTAGGACTGTGAGATCTCCTTTGGCTGTACTATAGAGGGTCATTCATCCACCTCTAGAATCCCCAGAAGCAACTTATTGACCCTGTGGAGACTGAGTCAGTACTGGCCAGAGGCTGGGGGCCCCTCTAGATTTTTCCTCCACTGCCCCATCTCAGTTTAAAAAATTAGATATGGCCCTCAGGGTCCACAAAACCCCAAATAAAAGTGTTATCTGAAAAGGACCTTTCTGGTCAACCCCTTCACCTGCTTCCTTGGCACACAGACATAGCTTTTGGCCAGGAAATTCCAAGTTAGTGTAAACGGATTCCCTACGTCCCTGGAGCCAGGCATGGACAAGGTGGTGTTCACCAAGTCAGTGCAGACCCTGGGGACTGTGGATCTGGCCCCACCTCGCCCCAGTGGGATTCCCTGGATTAGTGGCAGCCCTGCCTCTCTGCGAACTCACCACTCATCAGGTCAATGTAGACCCAGGACCCATGGATCCCCAGGAGGCAGGGCCTGGGCTTAGGGGTTCCAGCGGATGTTGGAGGGGTAGAGCCCGACCTACAGCTGACGCCCGGGTGGACTGGGTTACCTCCCTACACCCAGCCACCCGGGCCTGAGCACAACGCGCCCCAGGGTAGCCAGGCCCCAGGCCAAGGGCTCGGTTCCCAACAGCGGACAACCTCACGCGCGTCCCCGCCGCCCGTGCGCGCCACCCCTCCGCGCGCCCGCTATCAAAACATTCTGACTGCGCGCCCCCGCCCCGCCCGCGGTGCCCCTTCCCCCGTTACCCGCTGCGAGCTCACTTGGAGCTCCGTGGGCACTCTTGGCCAGCTCCTGCCTGGGCCCGGGGATTCCAATAACCAGTCTCGCGTGTCACCTCAGGAACCGCGACCCGGGCGATTCCAGGGGCTCGGTCTGTTCGGCTCTGCTCGGTCCGACCCAGAGCGCTAGGCCCGGCGTCTGCCACTCACCGTCATCTGCAGCCTAATTGGCCAATGAACATGGGGGGAGGAGACACATCGGCCAATTCTCGAGTCCAGGGGCGGGACGAAGGACACCAGGAGGGTCTTGGAAGTCAGAGGACCAATAGTGCGCTCTACGTAGGGAGGGACTCCGGGGCGGGCGGGGATGTTTGTCCTTTTCGCTGATCCGTAGTGACGGGACTCTTGTGGTGTTGCAGAAATCCGACTTTCAAAAGGTGGCTGTGCTGTTGCGGGGCTCTTGAGACATTTGGTGCAGCTTCTGAAGGTGGGGACAAGATTACGCGACTCAGTCATGGCTGGAACTCGTCGTTTGAGTAACAAAAGAGCGGTCGGTTAGGCAATCTTAGTGTTTTTAACTCTTAAATTCGATTTGGAGCTGGACGCTCCCCCATTTCACCCCTGCGGCCCGAGGCTAGGGGTTTGAGGAAACAGACCAGGGCCATGTATTTACTGCCGAGCTGTATCCTCTAGCAGGTTGAGAATCTATGGGCCTTGCGCCATAGAGAAGGCCAATTCAGGCATGAGATATGGCAGTGGTTTCTGGGGAGTTCAGTTTCTTAATACAGCCCTCCCCCCATACTCCCTTTTCTGCTCCAGGAGCTGCTTCTAAGTAATTCCTGTTCAGCCATGTCGCCAGCTCCAGCTGCGACTTCGGTTCCAGCTCCGGCGTCGGTCTCCCTCTTTGACCTCAGCGCGGATGCTCCAGTCCTTCGGGGCCTGAGCCTGGTGAGCCACGCTCCCGGGGAAGCTCTGGCCGGGGCTCTGGCTACTTCCTGTCCAGGTATCCCGAAAAGTTTGGGGTAGAAACATGTGGAACGTCACAGGGCTCTTCGGAGTGTTAGGAAGTCTTTCTATCTTTCTTAACAGAGAGAGAGGAGAAAGAGAATTTTTTTAGTACTTTTTTATTTTTTTGTTTTCGGTGGACACATTATCTTTATTTTTTTATGTGGTGCTGCGGATCGAACCTAGCGCCCCGTGCACGCCAGGCGAGTGCATTACCACTTGAGCCATATCCCCAGCCCAGGAACACTTTCTTAATCGTATTTCTCAGTTTAGGAGTACACGGTGACTCTTTTTACTGGATACAGTTTTTCTTAAAACTCTAGTCTCGGGGTAATTTCCATCACAGGCCCCTAAGTTTTCTCCAAACAAGACTTTAACTGTTGCATATGTTTGGTCACATTTAACACCACTGCCTTGAAAACACTTCAAAATACTTAGATGTATTCCAAATTGTACTGAACTCCAAAGTGTTACCGCCCTTTACCAGTGACAAGTCCTTGCTTCCCGGAATGCTGAAGTATAACACCAGAGAAGCACTCGGAGGCAAGTTTATAAAGTAGAAGCTTGATTAAGGACAGCAGAAAAGACTAATACCCGGAGGAAGAAGGGGACCCAAGAGGTGGAATCCATGGGAGGGGGAGGTCTTCTCTCAGCTTTCTCGAATTCCAGGTCCTTAGTTCTGTTATCTTGCAGTGATGGAATGTAGGTGGGGAAGGCCCAAAGGGTGGGGGACAGGTGGGCCTTATTTCTTTTATCTTGCAGTGATGGAATGTAGGTGGGGAAGGCCCAAAGGTTGGGGGACAGGTGGGAGGAAGGAGTAATCTGGGCTGGAAGGACTTTTGGACTAGCATCTCCACATTTTGCTGGGAGCTGCTTCATTATCATTTCCTTGGTATGGGCTCTGGGCCTTGGGGACATTTTCAATTCCCTTTTTCCTGGACTCCATTCTCAATATGGCCTTCATTCTCCATTTTACTCGATATTAGATATTAGATCCGATTTACCTAATTACACTAACTACCTATCTTTAAATCTGGCTTCAAAATCATCCCTTTGTGCTAAATATTAAACAATTTATTGTCGGTTTCATATAATTGTAGTTTGTCTTTGGCTATGTGTTTTATTACACTTCTCTTTAGAATAACTTCCCTTTTAATTGAACTGTAATCTTCAAAAGTGGCACTTAGGGAGTGACTGTTATTATTTTTTTTGTACCAGGGATTGAACTCAGGGTGCTCAACCTGTGAGCCACGTCCCCAGCCCTTTTTAATATTTTGTTTAGAGAAAGGGTCTTGCTAAGTTGCTTACAGTTTCAGTAAATTGCTGAGGCTGGCTTTGAACTTGCAATCCTCCCTCCCCAGTCTCCCAAGCTGCTGAGATTACAGGCATTGATCACAGGACCCAGCAGGGGAGTGGCTTTTGTACACTTAAAAGTAAGTTTAAGTTATTAAGGCCTGGTTGTAGCTCAGTGACAGAGTGCTGGCCTAGCATGAATGCACACCCAGTACTACAAAATAACAACAACAACAGCGATAATAATTCTAGGATTTATGGGGATATGAGCTGAAGCCCAGTCACTTTTAAGGGACCTGGTAATAGTGTTTTGGTTTAGTTAACTTTGTGGAGATGTGGTTTGAGATTCTCCCTGGACTTGTCTTTATGGGTGCATATTTGTTCTTCCGGGGAGTGGCAACTGAGAGTGCATCCACAAGTTCACTAGCAGGAGCAAGAAAAAAAGGGGTTGCCTGTTAATCCATATCAGTGGTGTTTGATGAAAAAAGAGATAGGTGTGAATCCAGAATTATCACTATGTGTCAAAAAGTTTGGAGAATATTAAGGGAACATTTTTCTTAATAATAACTTATGGCCATTTACCCTTTCTAGAACGTTCTGCAGTGTTATGTAACATGCAGTATGTAGCAGTTAATGAAATAAAATGAAAAAAAAATTCAAGGGCTAGGAGTGTAGCTCAGCGATAGAGCATGAATTTAGCATGTACAAGGCCCTGGGTTTAATTCCCAGCACCTAAAACAAAAAGAAAAAAGAGGAAATTTTAACATTACCACAGATTATTTTCTACAGAATTCCTGTAAAATAATCCCTTTGGCTATTTTAAATACAACATTTGACATATTTATTTTAATGAATTTTTTAGAAGACTATTGATTGTATAAACTGATTTCATGATTATTAGATTGTAAATATTTTGAAGGCAAAGTCATACCATCTTTTTTTTTTTGTACTAGGGATTGAAGGGGGGGCGGGGGGTGGTGTTACCACTGAGTCACATCCCTAGCCTTCTTTTACATTTTATTTTGAGACAGGGTCTTGCTGAGTTGCTCAGGGCCTTGTCAAGTTGCTGAGGCTGGCTATGAATCCTCTTGTCTCAGGCTCCCAAGCTGCTGGGATTACAGGCGTGTGCCCATCTCTTTCTTTTGTGTCTTACTGTTGGGATATCAGATATTGACTAAATCCAGGCATTGTGAATTTGAGCCCCTTAGAAGTTCAATTACCCTTCCCTTATTTAGGTTCAGGAGAGAGAACAAGCCCAGAAAGAAAAGGACTCCATGGTCCTCTGGATATTTCAGAGAAATTATTTTGTTCATCCTGTGACCAGACCTTCCAGAACCACCAGGAACAGGTAAAAAGCCAGGATATAGGGCTGGATGTTAGGAACAAAAGTAGAGGTGGGGGTGGGGTGGGGGCTGTGGTGGTAGACATTTGATTTGCCTTAAGTTATTAAAGGTCTGTGCTTTACCACTAAAGCAGTTGGTGTTACCTGGTCCCACTTCTGGAGTTCCATGAGCGGTCTTGGCTAGTACATAGGGCCAGGCTGGGCCATGTTCTACCACCTGCCTCCCGTTTTGCCTTTGTACCAGAGAGAACATTATAAGCTTGACTGGCATCGCTTTAACCTAAAGCAACGTCTCAAGAACAAGCCTCTCCTGTCTGCCCTGGACTTTGAAAAGCAGAGCTCCACAGGTGATACCTGGTGGGAGCAGGACATGGGGTGTAAGAAGGCCATAAGGAGTTTGTAGAAAGGTTAGAAATGGGGTACCAAACTTTTATGTCCCATGTTGTCTGTCTTTAGGAGATCTTTCCAGCATCTCAGGATCAGAAGATTCAGATAGCGAAGAGGACTTGCAGACACTGAGCAAGGAGAGGGCTGAATTTGAGAAGCCCAACCAATCCCCAGGCTTCCATGCCCATCGAGTTCTTTTCCAAAATGCCCATGGCCAATTTCTTTATGCCTACCGCTGTGTTCTAGGCCCTCACAAGGCAAGTGTCTGCACAAGTTGTGTGGTCAACCACAACTTTTTATATGCTCAGCTTAGTTTTCTCCTTAGCTGGTTAATGTATCACTTCTTCCCATCCTTCTTTTTGGGCTTGGGTATCACATGGACAGCAGTCTTTAGTTGAAACTGGCCTGAATTGTGCTAGGGTCAAGTATTATAGAATTCAGTTTAGAAACAGATCAGTCTGTTTGAATTGTGGATATACCACTTATCCAAATGGTATATCTACCACTACCTCTCCAAACTTCAGATGTCCTTCTTTATAAAATGGAAACAAGGCTCAGGGTGGTTGTAATAAATGAGGTAATAATTTATTGTGAAGCACTTAGCATTAGCATTTGGTTTCTTGTCCTTGATGAATAAAACTATGTTCTGCTTCATATATCATGCAGGTTCCCCCAGAAGAGGCAGAACTGCTGTTACAGAACCTGCAAAATAGAGGTCCCAGATGCTGCGTGGTGCTCCTGGCTGCAGCTGGGCACTTTGCTGGTGCCATTTTTCAAGGGTGAGGGTGCTGTATGGGGCAAGGCTGGAATGGATCCTGCTAACCTGGGAGCACCAGCTATTCTCCAGTACTGAGTCTGTGCTGTCTACAGAAAAGAAGTAATGATACACAAAACCTTTCACCGCTACACCGTGCGGGCCAAGCGGGGCACAGCCCAAGGTCTTCGAGATGCCCAGGGTGGGCCAACACGCTCTGCTGGAGCCAATCTGAGGCGCTACAATGAAGCCACACTGTATACAGTGAGTTTAGACCTCCCAGATTTGTTGGTCCACTAATCACTCTTTTTGCTTCTCGTTTCAACTTGCTAAATGTTACAGTAGAGAGGTTTGGGATTCTCATATCCTTCCAGTTTTCATTATTTCTGGGTAGACAAAATAGAATAAGGGTCTCTAGGAACCTTAGTTCTTCCTCCTTTTTAAATCTTTGGATGAAGATTTAAAAATAGTAAGTGAATATATGCCAAGTGGAGTTACTCTCTTCTCTAGGATGTTCGGGACCTGCTGGCAGGGCCAGCCTGGGCCAAAGCACTTGAGGAGGCTGAGACAATCCTGCTGCGTGTCCCCCGTTCTGGCCGTTCCTTCTTCTTTGGAGGCCATGGGGCACCTCTGCAGAGGGAGGATCCCCGACTTTGGGTTATCCCCCTCACCACCCGCAGACCCACATTCCATGAGGTCCAGCGTGTGTTTCTTAAGCTGACCACCGTGCATGTCTATGGTAAGCCTCCAGTTCCAATCTTTAGGCTTCTTAGACCTTTCAGTACTCTACAGCTCAAACCTTGATTCTCTTGTGGGCATCCAGAGGATTTTTCTAACCCTGGAACTATAGCCCAGGAATATTTTCACTGAGAAACCTGGGCTGGCTTTTCTTCAACTAAGTTTGAGAAAGATTTTGTGTTTTATGGCAGAAGACAACCCTCAGGAGACAATCAGATTGTACTCACCTCGGATATACTGGAAGACTGTGAAAGAGGAGAGGAAGAAGGCTGCTAAGGAAGAAAGAAGAAAGGTCCCCAGTGATGAAAATGAGGCACTAGGGAAGATGGAGGAATTATCCAACCAGGGTATAGGCACCATCTGGCATTTATCAAGTCTATTTGTGTGTCTGTCTTTGAAATACAGTGGCAAAATCACTTTTAATTGACCCATAGATGGGTTTTTACACCACATATACCTATCCACATACACCCCAGTATCTGTATAAAGTAAGGTGTGTCATAGCAATCACTGTGGCATTTTTACTTGACTTTTCCAGATCTCATGTTATCTCTTTTGTTCATGGATATATATCCCTGGTACTTAGAAAATCTTATCATGGAGTAGATATTTCAGTGTGTTGCACAAGTCTCACATTATTTGTCTGCCTGGCTGGATGCTGCTGGTTTGGGGCAAGGATTGCTGCCATGTTTTCTTCTATGCACAATCCTAGGACTGCTCATAGGAATAGTTCCGGGACAAGATAGAAATTTCATTTTTCTTTATAGACATAAATACATCTGAACCAGCTCACTCTCTGTTTATTCCTTAGATGGATCTAACCTGTCATATTTCTCCCTAGGTTCAGGGTCAGAGGGAGAAGATGGCTCCCGGGTAGAATTGGAGCTAGTGGAATTAACTCGGGAGACACTGGATCTTCGAGAGTTTGAAGTATTGCCTAAGCGGAGAAGAAGAAAACGGAATAAAGAGAGAAGTCGAGACCAGGAAACTGGGGCACATACAACTCTTCTCCAGAAACCTCAAGAAAATGAGCCCTTCTCTCTGTCAGACCAGACAGTTGAAGCCCCCTTGAAGCCTTTGGTGGATAAGGCCAAGACCCCTGATCAGCCAGAGCTATGGAATGTGCTTCTAGCTGCTTGCCGAGCTGGAGACATTGGAATGCTGAAGCTCCAGTTAGCTGCTGAGCCTACAGACCCTAGAGTTAGGTCCTTACTCAATGCCCCCTTGGGCTCTGGTGGCTTCACTCTCCTGCATGCAGCAGCTGCAGCTGGAAGAAGCTCAGTGGTTCATTTGCTGCTGGAGGCAGGTTGCAACCCCACTGTGCAGTAAGTGTCTCCACTCTGAGCCATTTTGGATATAGAGAAGATAATTTGGTGGCTCATGTTGCATTCTTTAGTTGACAATATAACCTTAGAGTCTGGTTGGGTGATATTGAGAAAGACAGAAGGCAAGTTGAACCCATTTTGTGTTTTTTTTTTTGTACGCAGGGACTCCCAGGCCCGCCCACCTTATATGGTAGCAGCTGACAGATCAACACGTAATGAGTTCCGAAGGTTCATGGAGAAGAATCCGGATGCCTATGATTACAAGAAGGCTCAGGTCAGCTAGAAGAAGGAGATGCAGAGTGGGAAGGTGTCATAGGTCCTAGCCAGGTCCTTTCTACTCCTTTGCACTTTTAACCAAGGATAGCTTTTGTGGGTCTTACTTAATATCTTCTGGAAAATCCCCCAGGTACCAGGGCCACTGACACCAGAAATGGAGGCACGGCAGGCCACACGGAAAAGGGAGCAGAAGGCAGCCCGGCGGCAACGGGAGGAACAGCAGCGGAAGCAGCGAGAGCAGGAAGAGCGAGAGCAAGAAGAGCAATGGAGGTTTGCTGCCCTCAGTGACAGAGAGAAGGTGAGGCCAGGCTCTTCCATAGTGAGACTTCCCTAGAGCTCTCACCCACTCCCCATAGTGCAGCTCTTGTTGGCAATGTGACTTTGTGTTTTTCAGAGAGCTCTGGCTGCAGAGCGCCGATTTGCTGCCCAATTGGGAGCCCCTGCTCCTCCAATCCCTAACTCTGGAGTTATCAATGCTCGGTATGGGGCTAGGGTTTGAGTCAGAGTGGACTCTAATGTTGTGGGGACTATTTGGGGCAAGTGGAATGATGGTCTACATGGTTTTCAGAGGGGTTGCTGAGGGGATTTGAGATACTCTGGGAACCTTTGAGAGTTGCAAAAAGCTTGGAGTGGAAAGTTTCTGGGGAACCTGTCCTGCCATTTTTCTTCCTCTTGTTCAGACGCTGCTGGAGTTGTGGGACTTCCCTCCAAGGCCTCATTCCCTTTCATTACCTTGACTTCAGTTTCTGCTCCACACGTTGCCTCCAGGACCATCGCCGTCGGGCTGGGAAGCCCTCTTCCTGACCTCCTACAGCTTCACCTGGGCCAAATGTAGGCCCTGAGAGGGCATATTGACTCCAGCCCTAGGTTTCTTCTTCCCCATGAAGCCACAGAGTATTTGGAAGAATAGGGTGAGGGATACTCAGGAACCAGGGCAAAGATAGGGTCACAGAAGTGTATGGAGCTGGTACTGTCTCTGGAATTTTAATAAAAAGTTTGGCAAGAAAACTGTACTTGTACTTACATTCAGAGGCCTTCTGGCCTTTGGTTACCATGGCCAGCACCAAAGGATTCTGCCCACTCCATGTCCCAGGTCCAAGGGTTATCTTTCTTTCAGTGCCCACTTAACTCCATTAGTTCAGTGTCATTTTGTACATCAGGTGAGAGGGAAAGTATCCTATGTACAGTGCTGTTAAGGATAGGCCTATCCAAGAACTGGATTTGGGGCTGTAAAGGGACATTTTCTAGCTCCAGCAAGGTGATTGTGTTGACAGCTCCCCTAGGTAACAGCAGGGGTCTTGGCACGTAGAGGGTGTGTTGTGGCCCCAACTTTGTCCAGTACCGGCCCAAATTAAACCCATTGATCCAGACTTGGCCCTGTGGGGCAATAAGAGAGTGAGAAAAGCAAAGATTAGCTCTCCAAGGGATAGAATCATCCTCTTTGGGGTTTCTCATCAAAATAATAATTTCTGCTCCCCCTCTTTTCATAATTTTTCTTTAGGGTCTGGTTCGGTGATATTGGGAAAGACATCCTCCGCCAACAACCACCATTAGCAATACCTTTGTCCATCCAGGTAGATAGAGAAATGTGTCCCCAGCTGAGCCTAAAATTGGAAACATTGTGGAGTAGAAGGTGGGGCCGGAAGGATCTTTAGGCTGTGGTCTTTTTGGCAACTTGAATGTATACCACCACTTTACAAAATGATCTACTTTCAGAGGGAAAATCATCCACTGGGTAAGGATTGTTTGCCCCAGAATTGGTGGCTCTAACAAGCCCTGTGGGAGGCAAAGGAAAAGTCATTATTTACTAAGCCTGTAAATTTATTTACTGTCCCTAATCAAATTCTAGGATGTAATTGGTGGCCATATTCAGGTCCCCACAAGCCACTATTTCTCTGACTCTTAAAGACCTGGCTGTACCTTACCTTCCGTTAGACTCTGGTCATTCCAGAGGAGTTGGTCAATAAGTGTACTGGGATAGACAGGGAAGCAAAACTAACTCACCTTGAAGTCACTGTGGTTAGACCCAAAACTGAGCCTTCCCATGTTCTCTAGCAAGATATCCAGTTTGGTCCCTACTTTCCCCATCAAATATAGTTTGTTATCCGTATTTCTTTCCAGAACACCCTGGATTACCTGTGGATAAGAGATAGGATCTATGAAAGGAAGGGCTCAGCATTTAATTCTTGGCCACTGCATAGAGAACCACATTAGAACACTTATTTAAAGAGTAAGGAAAATGTAGCCAACTGTGAATTACCCACCACCATTCTGGAACTCTATCCTTAATCAAGTTCTTCCTCATCCCATAATTCTGTATCCTCTATAGATGTGAGCAGGCAGTAGGAAAGGGTAAAGATGAAAACTTAAAGCTATAGAGTGCTGGGGAAAGGGGGAAATTGGATCTCACAAGTTAACCTGGAATTAGTTTCTCACCCCATCCATCATCACATAGGCACGGTCATGGACTCCATTATTTGGCACCCATAATGGTGTTGGCTCAAAAATGGAATAAGAAAGATAGGTCCGGTACAGCATATAGCCATGGTCCTGGATATGGAAGAATGAGTTTAAGATAAATTGAGATAAGAAAGGACATTAAAGGGAAATTGTAGCTAGGAGGAACTTTTCACTATAGCTGGTGAGAGTTTGTGGTTCCCACCAGATGTAGATATATGTCTTACCTGCTTCACAGCCTCAAAGGTCAATGGCATGACTGAATGGATAGGCCCCTGGGGGCACAGAAAATCTAGGAAACCCAGCAAATCCCCATCCTGTTAAAATAAGAGGCGAGAATCAGAATAAGAGGGAGGTTTCTGGATCAAGGACAGGATAAGGTAGATATTTAGAAAGTAAAGGTATAGAATCAGAAAAGACGGGAGGAACTTACCAGGTGCATAGTTAAAGGTCCAAGCATCATCTTGTGGCTGGGGGGAGGTAAAGGTCCCAAGGGAACTTCCTGGAACTGAGCCCAAATTCTCTCAGGAGCCATAGGAAAACCACAAAAACAGCCCCTATTCCAAGAACCTAGAGCAAGGTTCTTAACCTGGGACCCAGGGAAGGGCTTTGGTCATAAAGACTCTAATTTAGACACTATAATGTTCACTCATGTGTAACTCAAGTGGTACCATTTGAGTGATTGGGAAATGCTTCCATGGGACACTCAGCTCTGTGGCCCAGAAAACCACCACCAGTTTATAGGAGGATCCCATTATAATTTGGGCACGACCTTCTCCCCGATTAATAAAAGGGCACCTTGCCAATGACATTTCGAAGAGCAAAAAGCTTAGGTGTGGTGTCCCCTGCTTCAGATATGGGTGCATCGTAGTCATAGCTGGTAGTTATTGGAAGGAAGCGTCCCTTCTCATCAGCACCTAGGGTTGAACCAATTTAATTAACATATCTTTCATTCAGAGGATAGGCACTAAGCAAAGAGCTTCAGGCAGAGAATTTTGCCATCAGAGCGGGCAGTGGTGGCATATCCAATTTCTAGGCATCCTAGTCCATCCAGCCCTTAGATTCTAATTCCTTGTTACCTTCCTATTTCTGACCCAGGGGACAATCTGTACTCACCATTCCAGTATCCAAAGTTGGTGCCTCCATGGAACATGTACCTGAATTGGGGGGAGGGGGTAAAAGCTGACCCACTGAATCTTAACTTTCATCCCCATCTCCCAGTAACAGGTTCATATTGTCTTCAGTTACATGTTCACACTGGCTCCCAACTTGAGCATGTTTTCTAGTCCTTTAGCTATAGGTTCAATGGACCGTGTGGAGTGATTCTGACCCCAGTAATCCAGCCAGCCTGTGTAGTATTCAGAGTTCACCTAGAATATGAAGTGAAAAAGCCATGAAAGAGGTGAAAACCAAGCTGGACCTATTCCCATCCATGATTCTTGCTTTGATTCCCCTTCCCTCTGGTCCCTCACCAATGGCCCATGGGGTTCATACTTCTGAAGCAGGGCAAAGATTCTGGTCATGTTGTCAGCTGCAGGAAGGAAGCAAGGGTAAAAGATGAACAGTACAGAAAAGGCACCCCTTCCCTAGACTCCACTGCAAACCCTTGTTCAGGAGACCTGGCCCAAAGTCTATAGTAGCAAACAGTCCCTTGAGGGTGCCACATTTGAGTCCGTCAGGCCCATCTGTGGTGAAGAGCAAGATCTTGTCTCCTAGTAGCGCACGGAAGAGCCCAGCCAAGTGTCTCATGTAGTTGAAGTCGCAGGCCCAGTAGCTACCATATTCATTCTCAACCTGCCAGGGGAAAGGGAAATGGGAACTATGTGGTTGAGAAGGTTAAAAACACCTTACACCTTCTTCCCCTCGCCCAGTCAACTTCCCACTTGTACCTGAATGCTAATGATGTTGCCCCCATTGTGGTAGAGAAATGGATATATCTTGGGCAGCAAGACCTTGAACCAGGAGTCCACTGCAGCAAGGAAGTCTAAAGGAAGGAGAGGCACTCGGCTCATTAGAGGCCACCACCATCTCCATGGCCCCCATCCCCAGCATCCCTGCTAACAACTTCAGTGCTGCCCTTACTCTAGGCTGCAGGTTCCATCCCACTTGCCCCCTGAAAAAAACTCTGGGAAGTAGTGACTCTTAGAACTCTCAACCCTAAGCACGTACATATTTGCATGTCAATGGAAGTAAAACATAAGAAACTTTAAAGTACATGTGTTTGTTTTCATGGTTCTGGGGATTGAACCCAGGACCTTGCACATGATGGGTATAGAGTATTGTTTCTTAAAAATACATGGATGAGGCGCTGGGGTTGTGGCTCAGCAGTAGAGTGCTCACCTAGCACATGTGAGGCACTGAGTTTGATCATCAACACCACATAAAAATAAATAAAATAAAGGTATTGTGTCCAACTACTACTAAAAATATATATATTAAAAAAAATACATGGATGAGCCAGGCGTGGTGGTGCAGGCCTGTAATCCCAGTGGCTCGGGAGGCTGAGACAGGAGGATCCTGAGTTCAAAGCCAGCTTCAGCAACGAAGAGGTGCTAAACAACTCAATGAGACCCTGTCTCTAAATAAAATACAATGGGGCTAGGGATGTGGCTCAGTGGTTGAGTGCCCCTGAGTTCAATCCCCAGTACCCCTAAACCAAAACAAAAAGGAAAAAAACACATGGATGAAAAAGGCTAAATACACAGTATGGAACTATTATTATTATTATTATTTTAGTTATTGGCGGACACAACATCTTTGTTTGTATGTGGTGCTGAGGCTCAAACCCGGCTGCACACATGCCAGGCAAGCACGCTATTGTTTGAGCCACATCCCCAGCCCCTGGAACTGTTATTATGTAATCCACTTATGCCTGAGATTTCTGTGAAGTAGCATGGGAATTCACAATGTAGAGCATCTGACTTGCACCTTTCAGTCAAATGATTTTTTTAAGTTGGTAATTGGAAGATCATTATACTAGGCATTGTGCCTTAAAATTCTCAACTCCTGCTTGTTATTTTTGTGATTCACCCTGAAGATCTTCATGCATAGTGTTTCCTCTGCCTGACACTTTTTCCTCCACCCTCCTTTACCTAACCAACTCCAACTCATGCTTCAATATTTTTTCTTCTGGTACTGGGGACCGAACTCAGGTTCATTCTACCATGAACTATATTCCCAGCCTTTCTAAGTTTTTGAGACAGGGTTTTCCTAGGTTGCCCAGGCTGGCCTTGAAATTTCTGATGCTCTCACTCCACCCTCAAGTCGCTGGGATTACAGGTGTGTGCAATCAATATCCTCAAGAAAGCCTCTGATATCCCAGATCAGGATAGATCTCTTGTTAAAACACTCTCACATTATTTCATACTTCTAAGTAACTTGACAAATTATGATTGAACATTTATGTCTGTGATTGTTTCTTGCTAATTTCCCAACTAGTGAATAGGAACCTTATTTGGAGGGTTCCTTCAATGTTGCATCCCTATCATTGAGGACAAAGCAAAAGACAGGGACTCTCAAAGGTGGATTCAATGAAAGACATTTTGGAGGAT